TGCAGTCAAGCATCTTCGCAGCCATGGACAAACTAAAAAGAAAAAACTCAAAGGAATTAAGAAGACGTATTTGACTGTAAATTATGAGTTTCTTCCACTGTAGATTGTCACAACTCGTCAACAGATACACATACATATGTTACCAGCGTATGAAGAAAGAATACCCCTACATATGGGATCATTGTATACTCTTTTTTTTTTTCCCCTTGCATAATATTGGTCATACTATTTTGGATTTCATTATTGTATCTTATTAAGTTGTTATCAACTTCTTCAGTTATGGATTCGTGATCTTGAAAAGAAATATTGTATGGCAGCTTAATGCTCATATTTCGTTTGCACTTGATCAACAGCAGCACCGATCATAATGTTTCATGATAAAAATTATAGGTTAAATATTAGGCTCTTAATTTTCCATAAGAGTTGATGATCGAGAGTGAGGGATCCAAGGATTTCAAAGGTTGGATGGATATAAAATGAATTAGTTGTAGAGAGCGTGGAACACGAAATTGATGGTTGCAGAAGACCCACTAGACTTCTGCCATTAGGAGGCTTGACCTTTGATAAGGTGGAAACCCATGTCAACGACCTATACAACGTGGACGGACGCGAAGCCAAAGACATAACCCCTAGACCCTTTATCTACTTTGTTTTACGTTAATTCTCTCTCTGACTCGGACTTTGCAAAGCTGTACCAAAAAAGTTATCTTAAATTGTCCATTAATGTGGAGTTTAACTAGTGATATATATTTGCCTTATGATAAGAAGTCAAGACAATTTGTTGCTAATTAGGTAAGATCATTTACTTTTGAACGAAGCTTTTGATGCAAGATTATAGAAATTCAACTTGCGAACCTAACAGTCTCCTCCTCTCCCTCCTTCCTATTAGTTTCTAGAAGAACTAGCTATGGTGCATGGAACGGGAATGTAGGGCTGCTGTTTCCCGTTGAAAATCTTTCCACGTATATATATGCAAGCTAAGAAATTTCAAATTGAATTGTACAAAGATATATATATATATATATATATATATATATATATATATATATATATATATATATATATATATATATATATATATATATATATATATATATATATATATATATATATATATAAGGGTAAATTAAAAATGAAACTTGGATAAATTGTTATTTAACTAAAATGCAGCTTGAGAGAAATCACAACATCATTTTCAAGCCAGCCAGATAACATTATCCGACAAGAGAGTATACTTGAGCATGTGATAAATTCTTGGTAGGTGCTTTTTTGACCTTTAATGAACAACTAACCTACCAACCATGCCAAATTTAAGCTCAGATTCTAACCTAAATAGATACGTATTTGTGTATGAAAAAGGGACAGGATAATTTTTATTTTGTTTTTATCATTGTTTCATAAAATCACATCAAAATATTAGACGAATATCTTGGTAAAGACCAAACGGACCCTGAATCCATACATACATTATTCTAGCTGTCGAACGTACGTAATTGGCACATAGCATTAACATCATAACATCATAATATATATGAAAAGATGATTTACTGCGCCCAGCGATGGAAAACTAAATCCACAAGTTGAAATATTGAGTTAAAACAGACAAATGCGTGCGTGTCTGTGTGTGTATTCTTTGACTTCGGGGCGTTTACAGTGACGGAGGCGCGTGCAAGTTACAGTACTATAGGGTATCATGATTAAAAAAAATAATTAATCACGAGTTAAAAACATCTATGATTAGTCGAATTAATATGATAAAACAATCAATATATTTATATTTCCAATTCGTAATTACCATTAGAATCCGTGAAGAAAGTAATTCCGCCAACAATCACTTGTAGAATTCCCTACCGATTAACTGATGGATTAAGTTTTGTATGTTATTACCGACAAAACTTTTCTTCATAATGCTTAGTTAGCAAAATATTGCCCTACCGATTTTATAGTTTTATTGATGAAAATTTTGATTGATATTTATATTGTATTGATAAGCATTTTATTAATGGGATTATGGATAGAAATAATTTATTAATAAGATTTTTATTGATAATTTTTATTTGTCGATAATAAATTTACTATTGAATTTATAGATGAATAAAACAAATAAAAAAAATTATCTGTATCATTTTGTTGGTATTTCCCTTTAAATGTTTACCAAATAACTAATGGAATATTGTATGTAATTTTGTCAGTGTTTTTAGTTTTTTTGTCTATAAATATAACAAATCACCGATGAAATATTATCTATAATTTTGTTGAAAGGTTAACAATAGCAGTGATTTTTTTTTTCCAACTCTTTGAAATATACTGACAAAAATATTCTGTCGTTAACCCTACCAATAATAATTTAAAATATATTTTTTAAAAAAATATATTGAACAAAAGTAGAAAAATATATTAAAAAATATATAAAATGAAATTAAAATAATATAAAAATTAAACATTTATTACAAATTTAAATATTTTTACGTTCAAATAAAATAAATTTAAAACAAAGATGATGTTGGAGGAGGAGGAATAAATCTAAAACACAGGCGATGCTAGAGGAGGAAAAGGAAACTAGTAGTTATCGAGACCACAGGGCCAATAAAGAGGAGCACATGGATCACCCATGTGTGATCTCATTCCCATCACTACTCGTCAGAGTTATTTATAATTCATAGTAAGTCGTTCATATTTTTCATTAAGATTAGTTGTCTGATCCTATGCTTGTTGGTTTAACATCGCTTTAAACTTAGGAGTTTAAATGTTTGGAATTAATTGCAAGCATCCAATATTCAAAATACTAATGACCATCTACAAGTTCTCGGCCATAGTGTTAGATAGTTCGTATACTTGATTTTTATCGACTCCACTTGATGATCTTACCTTCAAAGATAGCATAACAAAAGTTCTAAAGTAGACCCTCTATTATTACAGAAAAAGATGATTATTGCAAGCATCCAATATTCAAAATACTAATGACCATCTACAAGTTCTCGGCCATAGTGTTAGATAGTTCGTATACTTGATTTTTATCGACTCCACTTGATGATCTTACCTTCAAAGATAGCATAACAAAAGTTCTAAAGTAGACCCTCTATTATTACAGAAAAAGATGATTAATTTACTCTCTAACAATTTTAAAACTCTTTACTTTAAACATCTTATGGGCACTACAACTGAGCAGTTCACTAATATAATAAATGTAGTTAAAAGATTGAACAAACCATGAAAGCTGACAAAATTATCGCCGAAAAGAAGAATGAGATGGAAATGAATAATATTAAAAAAGATGGTCACAAAAGGGAAAAAAAAAGTTATCAAAGCACTTGTGATTTTCAAAAATCAAGTCCTACTATATTGAACATGAACTTCACCTCATATTTTCTTGAAAACCAATCCAATATCCAAATTAGCCCATCAAATAACCAAAATGATAACCGCATGTAAAGTTTTTTATTTAAAAAAAAAACAAAGAACAATTGTCAACTACTGTCAATATTACTAAGTGAAATGTACTGAAATTTGTTGAAAATTGTTGAGTATAAATCACCTTCAATTAAACCTAAAAGCCTAAAATATGAGTGCAATTCAACTTTCAAATCATGCCTCTAGAAATGAAGTAAATAATATTGAAGAAATGAAAAAAAAAGCTATATGGAACAATGATTCAAGCAGGAAACTCAAGACATTATTTAAGATACCAGCGATGAGAAATTTAGGTGAGTTTTGTAAATATAATTGCTAATATGGTCATGACATTGACCTTTATGAAGAGTTTCATTGTTAAAATTTTTTCTAAGTGAAACTAAAAATTAATTAATTGAAATAATGGGTTAGATTGAATTAAAAAAATTTAAATAATACAAGAGGGGTGAAATTGGATAAAGAAAAAAGTGATGTGGTATAAATAATTTCACAAGGAAAAGTTGTGGGAAAAAATAGAAAATATGAGATAAATGAAGTGAATGTGTAAATAATAGAAATTTTAAACTATAAATACCCTTTTTTTCCTCTTATGGCCGGTGGTTTGCTTCCAAAAAGCAGATGAGAATTGTTTGATTTTGCTTCTTGTTTCTTTCTAAAATCATCAAAAAGAGGCTAAATTAAAGTGATTAAAGCTTATATAAGTAATTAAAAAAGGAGATTGAGTGTTTTGGTGGGTTATTTTGAAGGAAAAAAAATTAAAAATTAAGGTTTTAAAAAGAGAGAGTGAAGAGAAGAAAAGAGAAAGCAAAAAGAACCTTGATTTTTTTGCATTTAAAACATTATTTAGATCAGATTAAATCAAAAAGTTCCAAATATGACAAAATAACAAGAGAGCAAGGCTACTACCACATTAGATTTATTATGAAAATGTGCGGCGACAAATTGTTGGGGAAAGGGGTATTTTACACCGAGTATATAATGATCGTTGGTGATTTTATTAGAAAGATCTAATAAATTATTTTTTTATTTATTAATATTAGTATTTAAGTTAATTTGTGCATAATTTGATTAATTATATTAACTTTAAAATTAATAAATATATAAATTTTTAATAGTTTTAATATTTATAAAACTGGAATTAATAATTTTTAAAAAATAAATATAAAATTTTTAAATTAATCTAATAACTTGTTAAGCGGCAAAGAGCAAGCTCGCCACTGGTTGCTCTTTTAGGTCTAGGATTTTGTTCATGGACTAGCGTTTTATGGCGGTAACAAATTGCCGGGCTTCAGGATATAAGAGCTTCTATGTAAGGCCTAAAGCTTGTTCAGCCCGTGGGCTTTGGCCTGTCGTTAATTAAATTCAGATCTTTCTTTCCAAAAGTGAAAAAAGTAAACCCAAGAAAGAAAAAAAACGTACGAATTGCCACCTTCACAAGTTCATTGCAAATCTTTAAAAAAGAATAAAATAAAAGAACTCCCAACCCTCCATGTGTTCATTTTTGAGCATGATAAAATAAGTGGATATTTCCAAACCTCCTCAAGAATCTCCTCAACGCAGCTTTTGTAACAATGATATGCTAAATGTTTATTATAGCCTGTAGTGTAATTATATTTTGTTTCTTTTTCCACGACCATAGTCATTTGATGTTCAATACTCTCCATTCCATATTACTCTAGGATGAGATAATTGCTTTGAAATTAATCTCTGCAATCCTTTAACATGTTTGCACAAGGTTGATTTTTTCCCCCTTTTTTCTTTCTGTAGCTATATTGCTTCGATGTTTTTTCAGTATCTCATCTTAAAGTTTTCTCAAATCTGATTATTAATATATCTCTCTCACCTCATCTGTACATAGCCCCTTGTTGGTATTTCAGATTCTTAGGCTTAAATAAGTTCCAGTAGAGTACCTATGTGATCTCATGTGCAGGCGACCCATGGATTGTGGATGACAGGATTTCCCTAGATAAACCTCTTGATTCTGCTATTTTATCGCATCTGAAGCAGTTCTCTGAAACGAACAAGCTCAAGAAGATGGATTTGCATGTAAGATTCATGCAGATGTGCAGTAGTTTTCTTTGATTATATTATCGGTTCCAATGGAAAAATTATGGAATATATGAACTAGTTTGATTGTTGACTGATCTGAGAGTGTTACCTCTAAAAGAACTGGGCCAATATAACTCGTAATTCAGCTATTTGCATGACAACTGCTTTATCTAGTGGTCCCTTTAGTAACTTCTTCGCTCGTCATCAGTCCTTGGTAACATCATGTCCATACATAAGATTCTTTGCTTTTCGATATTCTATGCTTGTTTATATGATGACTAAATAAGATTCTTAATGTTAAAAGTCCTTTCGTAAGTTCTTTGCTTCTTTTAATAACATGATGTGGGCATTTTATATGCTGCCTTTATAGGAAAATACCAAAAGCCTGTTCGGATGAATTCAGTGCTTCGTTCTGTTCTAAAGAACGGAATTTCACCTCAGAAGAGGAGGTTTCTTCTCTCTCATCTTGGTCAGATGATCCAGAAGAAAGTCTTAGCACTACTGGCTCTACCTTTATTACCAGAGATGTTCTTGCATCAGAATCCATGGCACAGGTTTCATCTTAGCTACAAACAGCAACATTGCGGCTGTTGAACAAGAGGGAAATTTTTCTCCACTGAATTGGTTGGTTGCTTGGATCAGTATGAGCTAAAAACACAGAATTTGTGTAAGATGTTGAGTATATACTCTTTTGAAAAAGCAGAGCATATATCTTTTATTCCTTCTTTAACAGATACATAAAATGTTTTGTCGTATTGTTAGTGGTAAATAAAATCTGATTCCAAGCATTGCTTTCACTTGTTCTATCAGCCACCACTCATATTACTGAATCTTCAAACAAATAATCTACATATGGTTCCCTTGTACTTCCATGGTGATAAAGAGTTTTTTATATCACCATGGAAGTACAAGGGAACCATATGTAATTTACTTGGAGGAAATTCTTACCGGAGACGGGAAGAGAGAGAAGCGCGGGCGTGTTTGGTACTAGTGGCCTTTTTTTTTTTTTTCACACGCTTTATCCTTTAAAATTTGAAAACAGCTATTTAATTTTTTTAACTTTAGATTTCATCTCTATTTTTTATTTATATAAAATAATTTATAAATTTTATTTTATTTTTATTTAATTATTTTTATATATCAGATTTGGTTCAATTCTTTTTATTTTATTTGTTTTATTTAACATAAATTTTAGAATTGATTTTTTTTTTGTGATTTCTTCCTCCATTTTTTTCATATCAAATTTAATTTTTATTATTTTTATTGCTATTTTTTTATACTTTGGAAAATTTTATATATTGATATCACTTTTCTAGTTTTATTTTTTAATATTAAATTTATTAGGAATTGAGTTTTTTTTTTTTATTTAACCTAGGTTTAAGATTTCATGAGTTATAAATTTGAGAATTAACTCACTCAAGTGTAAGAGTTTCGCCCAAATTTGCTTTTTCTTTTTATTTTTTTTAAATTCATATTTTTTAAGTTTTATTCTTTAATATTTATTACATTGAAGATTGAACCCTGTTTTTTCTTTGCTTTCTATTGCATTTTTCATTGATTTTAAAAATAATATACGTTTTCTCGTTATTCAATATTAAATTGTTTGATAACTAAATTTTATAATTTTATTCAATTTATTTTTAATAGGGTTATCGAAACATTACAACCATGTTATAAATTTTGCATGCTAACCCATAGAGACTCAAGTGGAGTTTTTAATCTTTTTTATTTATTTTTTTATTTTTTTAATCTTTTTTTTATTTTTTATTTTATCCTTTAATATTTTATTTATTAAAAATTAATTTTTGATTTTTTAATTTTATTTGATACTTATCATGATTTCATTTAATTTTTTTCTTCTTTATCATATAAAATTCTCTAACATCTCTTTCCTGTATCTCTAACCAACAGTTAAACTCTCCCTGTTTCTCCTATAATAATAGGATACAAACAATTATCAAACCATTCATTACACTTATGATTCCACAATGTATCATGCACTAGTTTCCATTAGTCATTAAAAATCTATATAATTTAATCAATTTACATATTTGACTTATTCCATCATTTATGTTACAATTCAATTTTTTACCTAATTTTTCTTATTTCTTTTTAAAAATAAAAAAATAGAAAAAAAAAATATCCAAAGAAATATATTTATTTTTTTTCTCTTTGATAATTTGACCCATTTCTACACTATTATGCATCTTTCCATGCTAAATTAACAATTTTAGAACGAATTCTTCTTTCC